TCAGAGGGGAGGTGCTCCAGCCCTCTGACCATCTTCATGGCCTCCTCTGGACTCACTCCAACAGCTCAACATCCTTCTTGAGTTGGGGGGCCCAGAGCTGGATGCAGTACTCCAGGTGGGATCTCACTAGAGCAGAGTAGAGGAGAAGAATCATCTCCCTTGACCTCCTGGCCACGCTTCTCTTGATGCAGCTCAAGATCTGGTTGGTCTTCTGGGCCACAAGTGCCCAGCGTCTTCCTTTAAACATTTTACTGTATCCTTTCTAGTTTTAGCTTTTAGATTATTGTAGTTTTTAGTTTTTGCATGACCAGTGTGGTCATTCTTAGCTCTTAGTCACTTTCAAGATTATATTTCTCTAACATCAGTTTCACCTTTCCCTGAAATCTCTCCAGTTTTTGTAGTGTTTTCTAGATATAAATTCACCACAATCTTTATAGGTGTGATGACACCATGGCATGAAGAATGCTATCAGCCTGACCCTCATGGAGTCTTTTGTTTGCTCAAACCTTTTTTGGCAGACCTTGAATGGATGTCTTTCATATTTGGCTGTCCATTACCATCTCATAGTAGAACTTTGCAGCCACCTAGTCCATTTTCTTTGCTCCTGGTGGCTTTGGTCTTCTGCTTGTGGAAGGAAAGGTGCAGAGACCGAGCACTGCAACCTGAAACCTTGACACTCTTAGTTCCATTTTATCAGAGTTGTCTCAAACCTTACAATTTGGGGTGAGTATTGCTGACTTCATGGTACATTTCATAGATAATTCTGTCAGAAGCTCTCTACCTTGTCTTTCGATTCTTCCTCTGTCTGCTTCACAAATTGCACTGAGATAAAATGTCGGGTAGTAATCTTGTGAAAAGATGGGCAGTGACTGCTATCCAGAGGGCACTGCACTAGCAGTAGGGAATGTTGGTAAGGCCTTTAAGTAGGATAAGACCTATGGATGCCAGTTCTTTCTTTAGCCACTGCTGTGTCACTGAGAAAGTCCTCCCATGTGTTATCAAGACAGATTTTCCTCCTTCCTCTCTCATTTTGCTACAGACAAGTAATGCTGTAGCCAAACACAGCACAGATGATGCATGTATAACACACCTTAAAGGCAGGAAGCTGGAGTCACAGGGCAGTAGGAATCGTCTATTTCATGTGGAGCAGAGCCACATGAAACTATTGGGCTAGGAATGGTTTAAGCCCATGGAGTGCTCCTGGCCAACCTGCTTCCCAAGGAAGTGCTGTCCAAATGGCTCACAGCCCCATCGCTCCTGCAGCAGTCAGGCTAGATGAGGCACAGGTACAGCTTGGGGCAGATACAAGGTGGGATGGAGATGGCTGGGGGTGGGTAGGGGCTGTGATGGGGATCCTGCCCACATGACTGTGAAAGCTGGGCCACGCAGAGAAGGAGGACTGATACGCAGAAATACTCAGTAGATGGCAGGATCAGGCCCATCCTGATCCTAGGCAAAGGAATCTGAAGTCATACCAAATATCTTAGAGAGCTTAGAAGCTGAAGAGTTTTGGGTCAGCTTAGGTGATTGGATTTTATGGCTAGTGTGTGCATCCAGAGGGTGAGGGCAGAACTAGATATGAATGACATTTACAAAATGTTCTTTTCCTTTCTTTTTGACTTCTGAGAACCATCTGTTGGAGAGTTGGATATAGTCTTACATCAGGAGAGAATGTTGAAAGACTTCAAGAAAATAGCTCAGACAAAGGAGACTGTCCTAAAATTGAATGGAATATACTGCACATTCTGAAAGATATAAGAACCAGTCAAATTCACACTCTTGATGGGAAGCTATCCACAGAAAGATAAGAGAGAATTGGATGAAGCACACAGGGGCCAGGATACCCTCCACAATAACTGTTCAAAACTCTATTACCTGAAGTGTCCACAAGTAAAGGGAAAAGGTGCAGAAGAGCTGTCTGAAACATATTAGGTGGAAGGCATAAAAGGCAAGTCAAATTAGAAAAGGGAAAAAAGCTATAGAGCTCAAACCAAAGCAGCAGAGGCAGGTACTACCGTAACTATGACTTTCAGGCTAGATAATATAGCTGAAAACAGAGAGCTCAGCTGTGGTACTGAGATGCAGGGAACATCTCAGGATTCAAAACATTTAATTTGTAGAGGGAAAGAATGAACTTAGCAAAGAAAAAATAAAATGAATAGCTGTGCCTCCAGTGGCAAAGTTTAAAGAACAGGACAGACCATGGGGGAAGATCCTCTGTTACAAGAGAACAGACAACCAGTAGATAAAGGCACGGGTAACAAAAGGGACATGTCTATTAATAATACTTAGCTATTTTGCCATCAGAGAAACCCCATGGTGACTCTGTGACACAAGTGGGTATGAGCTAATACTTCCAACATCCCTGTGCAAAAGGGGTGCTCTCACCTGTTAGATAAAGCAGATGAAGCAGTTTAGGCGTGGCCACAGTTCTACAGGTGTGATTAGATCTCATGACCTTCTGCCTCCATATGCTCTACTCTAAGGCATAGTTCCAGTACTCAGTGAATCTGTACATGAAACACTGAATTTGAATCATAAATAAAACCAGAGTTGTTCGAGCTGGGTCACATTGGCACAGAGAATCTAAAGAAAGTCTAGCAACCAGAGCAAATCAAAAGGACTAGAAACTAAATATCTGAACCACTTAGGACACTGAACAAGAACAAATACAGTTTGTGTGAAAGAAAAATAAATGTAGGCTGATGACATTTTCTCCAGGATGGAGCTACAACACAAAAGCACCGCAACCTTTGTTCGGCAGAGCTGAATTGGACCACAAGCAAAACAGAAAACCTGTATTTATGATAAAAAGGAGAACTCTGAGTGGTGACAGATGTTTCTAAGCATCTTCTTTTCTCATCTGAAAAGCTGAGTGTGACTTTACATTGAAAGAAAGAAATATAAATGTAGTGAAATTAATTGTTCAGAGAAAGATATGGAGGGAGTGACTGGGAATACGAAGATCATGACTGGGAATACAAGTGTTCTGAGAATTTAAAACACCTAGAAAATCTGTGCTCCCACTATTTCCCTTTCATTTGTGTATGTGCCTGTGTATACACATATGCACCTATACATGCATGTGTATGTATGTGTGCCTATATTTCACATGAGAAATGTCAAGGGCTAGGAATGAATGTTGTTGATTTTTTATCATTATTCTTTTGCTAAATATGACACTGATGTAGAACACTTGCAGCCAAGAGGAAATGCTGACCTTCCCTAACTGGGTGTCTTTTGATTTGGAGCAGTGAGACTCTAATGCTTAAATGTTAGACAGTTTTTCTTTCCAAGACTTGTGCTTATTAGTGCGCAAATGATTCTGACAACTCATTATTTGATGTTTGTAGTAATACATAAAATGAGGGGGATTTCTGTGGAGCCTTGTTCTTGTGAATGCTGCTGCTTTAGAACTGTTATTCAAGAATCTCTTCCTTATGTGAATAATTGGATAGTCCACCATCCATATAAGCAGATGCATTCATGTGTGTTCTGTGTAAATTACAGGGCTGAGGCCTTAGAAAAAATTTGGGTCTGGAAGTGTAAGGATCAAAATTTGTCTGTAGGTTAGTAAGAAACTAGCTACAAGGCAAAAAAAAAAAAAAAAAAAAAGCATAAAGTAGGGATGACATCTTTAGCATTCATCTGTCTATCTTGAGCAGAGTACCACAGCTCCCAGGTAAAAAAACCATACACATATGTAAATCTTTCACTGAATCCTTTCCTATGCAGTTTTCCACAAGAATGGCCAGGCAAAGCCAGAGACACACAGAGAGATGGATAACTCTGTAGATACTAAAACCTGTGCTTACATTGTTGTAATTTCTACACACAGAACTACACACATATAATTTCTAAATGCAGAAAACTGGTCTTTAAAAAAAGAGTGACTTGGAGAAGGTGATAGGGCATGGATGTTCTGTGTTTCTCATAATGGAGAAAGTAGAGCATTGAAGGAAATGATCAGGTGGCAGGCTAGAAACCAAACCAGAGAAGGTACTGTATTTTTCACACAACACTTAGTCTGTAGAACTCATTGTTACAGGATATTGAGGACATCAAGTATGTAGCTTATTTTAGAAAATACTCAGATAAATTAATGTTAAAAAAAAGAGAAGTCCCCAGGGTATGTTATACCAAAAATACCATTGTAGTTCAGGTAGTCCATGAGCCCCAGATTGCTGAGTGCTGCCAGAATATGCCAGGAAAGTATTCTATATGGTTGCTCTGGTTTTATATCCCTTCCATCAAATCTACTGTTTACCACTGTTTAAGACAGGTTTCTGTGCTGGATGGACCTTTGTTCTGATTTAGTATGGCTGGTTTGATACTCTCAGAGAAATCTTGCTTACGATGTTAATTTGCTGTTTACAACTTGCAGTAGTTAAATAGACCATTGTCTCTATTTTTCTATTTCTATTTGGTTTCTATTGTTTCTCATTTTCCCAGTAGAGCAAATCCTGTGGAAAGGGTAAATATCACGGTTTGGTAAATATCAAGGTTCCTTTTTAATGTCATTATGATAATGTTTGATCTACACAAATAATGATGCTTTAATATTTCAGTGAGGTTATATGAAAAACTATATAAAAATGGAAAGAAGAATTTGAAAGAATTTCAATACAAGGCTTTTAAGAATCTAATTTTTTTCTTGACCAAGCATGGTAGTTCATTCAAATCCTCTGTTAAGATGGAAAGTTCTTCAAGTACTAATATTTTGAGCAAATAAGCCCTAATGATACAAACACTTATGCAGATTATCATTTCACACTTCTTAGTAATCCTATTGAACTGAATATGTTTTGAAAAGTGGCATATAGAAGTGTATGTAGAACTGACGTCTAAGCAACTTTCTAAAAATTGGCGTATACCTATCTTGTAATTTTGACTCCTGTGCCCATTTTAATTGGTTTTTGAATGTTCTAAATAAAGAATCATCCTAACACAGTCCTGTTTTTGTAATAAAGTGGATTTTTTTGAAATATCTGAACTGTCAGTGGTGATGTGTAGGACTCCAGGTGCTCCCGCTCATGGTATTGTGGAAGGAGATGACTTTAAATACGGGGCCCAGGTTTACTTCAAGTGCAACGCAGGTTACAGCTTAAAAGGCAGCCGTGTTGCCTACTGTCAGCTTGATGGGATTTGGTCAACACATCAGCCTGAATGTGGTAAGGTCACTTTAAGTTTTGGTTCTTATCAAATGTTTTGGCCAATGTATTCACATGAAATTAGAATATCCAAATCTCACTTGAAATTTGGTAATCTGTGGTTTAACATGATGTTCTTTTGTCTTTCTGTCTTTGAGAAGCAGTAGGGATTGTTATTTTATTCTGCTGGAGCCCAAGCCTGCAAGTCTTGCTTACATAAAGGTCTGACTGAAAAATCAAATGACTGAAAAATAACTTCCATAAAGACTTTAGGCATACATCCTTCTTACATACAGACTGAAAATGTCTAGGACCAAAATGAAGTGAGGGACATTGTGCAACAATGAATAGCTACTTCCATTACTATGCACCTACAATACCTTCTCTGCAGGCATCTGGTGCGTTCTGTGGAGGTGATTAGGGCTTACCGCATGAAGACTAGACTAGTATTTCAATGGAATTCCCAACCTAGAGAAAAAGTGATAAAAGAGAAACTTCCATTCATTCTGGCTGTGCAGGTTGGCATGCCTACCATTCACATTGATTCGGCCGTGAAATTCCAAACCCCTTCTGCTCACATAAAGAGACCTTTCATTTTTCTTTGGTTGTTTTGTATTGCACATTTTTGTTTCCATATTCCAGAATAATTTGTATCAATTGGAAAAGTGCTTTTACAAATGTGTTGTGGCAAACAACGTAAATTTGGGTGGGAGTGGTGTGAAACAGCTGTATATAAATTCACCTGAAAGAACAAGCAATAGGCATCCTTCTATCTAGAGGGAATGTCTCCAGTTGCAGTAACTGTAATATCAGGATTGTGCTAAAGTCCCTGCTGCATGATGTCCCTGGATAAAGATTTGTTGAAAGGCCTGTCTCTAGACTTGGCTGTTACTGAAGTGCTAGGCGGTGTAATTTGGGTGTCTCTTTCCAGATATTTTCTTTTTGTTTTTAATCCATCAAAAAAGTCATAACCCTGAGCTTAGGGAAGAAGGGAATGACTGTTCAAGTTACTGACAGGCATAGGATGAAATAAGAGAAGGCCTTCATTGACTTATTTGGTCAAGCTTAGGTACACGTGGAAACATGCAGTCTGCTCCTTAGATGATGCCTCTAGGCTAGGTATCAGTGCAGAAAGCAATTTGCAAGTAAAGCATTATCCTGTGGGTGATTCCCTGCAGTCTTTAGCTTCTATCAAGTTATCAGTCACTTGTGGTTCACAAGTGAGAGAGCCTGTGAGGTACAGAGAAGAAAAATGGAGCCAAATTAAAAGGATACAGGGCTCTGCTTCTCCCTTTCTCCTTATTGAGGGGAAGTTCAGACATCCTCTTTGTCTGCTGAATATGACTCATCTAGAAAAGTATTTAAGTACATATATAACCTTCAGCGTATACTAAAATCCAGTGTTGTTAAAGAAAGCACTGAAATATATGCTTACCTTTAATTATATACTCAATGTGAAGAGCTTATGCTCCTCATTGAACTTGTACTGTTGGGGCCAGCTATGTGCTTGTATGCTTTGCTGAGCCAGGCTCTGTCTGGTGACATGAGGACATGGGAACAGGACAGGGCCATACCTATGCACTGTTACTGTGCTGATTGCACAGGGATTTACATAAATGTTGAAGTGCTTTGTTATATGTTGGTGCTTTTGTGAAGTGAGGCTCAGCAGGCAGCTGAGCCCGAAGCAACGACATGAAGAGTTCATTTCTGGTCAGCTGATATGTCTCAGTCTTCTCAGCCCTCCGTAAGCAGAGCAGCACCAACACTAGCTGTCTAAATTAGATGTTCACTGGTTATCATGCAATGAGACATCGGACAGAGGTATTAGAACAGAATTGCGTGTTACTGGCAGCCTGACAAGAAAACTGAGATGAAATCCAAAGGAAAAAAGTAAAATAAAAAGAACCTGAAAAGTACTGCTAAACTGAAAGAGCTGCTAAACATAAAGAGCAGAGGAGGGACAAATATAGGGAAAACCATTTATTAGCATCGCATAGGGAATTCTGTCATCCAGATACAGGCCAACAATTAAAATTTGTTGAGCAAAAAAACCACAACAACAAATAAAAAGAAGGGGAAAATATTAGGAAGGAGGAAGTAAAAGAGGTTTCATAGGCAGAACCTAGCATGAGTAAGCTTTCCATAATACATTTTTAATATCAGTAAATATATACATTTATATATGTTCTCTTTCAATTCCCATATTTCCCTGGATTATTGAGATATCTCTCTCTGTGCTAAGAACCCAAGTTGCAACCAAACATAAAAGTAAAATTAAGTAGTCTAGTTTTATTATCAGGTCCAGTAAAATATTGAAAGTACAGAAGAGGGAAAAGAATGCCAAGGGCCTGCTTCCTGCAAATAGTTTAAGTGCCTCCTTTTATGTTCTTGAAGTAGCACTGGTAATGTTAATGGGCCATTAACATCACATAAAGTCAAGGTACTTTTTCAGGATTGTCAGCTTAATTTTAAGGTCTTTCTAACAATTTGTGAATCTTACTCAGCTTTCAGTGAAGACTAAAGTGTGTATTATAAATAGACATCTGTATATTATAATTTCTTCTTTAATATTTGATCTTTTCAAAGACAGAGATCCCAGATGGGTCTTGAAAGGCATCTGTAATAAAGTGTAGGTTGTGTAGCAATGTCTGAATGAAATGCCAAGCTATCTGATGGGTGAAAATAATGCTGTGAATTTGATGAGATGGTTACTATATTTTTCCCCTATCATTAGTTCTAGATGAAAAAAAATGCTCAGATCCTGGTGGCCCACTCAATGGCTACAGAAGAGTAGTAGAAGACACTGGTCTCTTGAATGGACGCTATGCAAAAATTGGCACAGTCATTGCTTTCTTTTGTAACAACTCATATGTTCTTAGTGGGAACGAACAGAGGACCTGCCAAGACGACGGAGAATGGTCAGGGAAGCAGCCAATCTGCATAAAAGGTAGTTTACAATCTTTTTTACCACAACTTACAAAAGCTGCCATGGTTTTACTGGAGTTTGTTTCATATAATTTAGACTCCCCAAACAATCATTTTTGCTAAGAATAAACCATCTGACTGACACTTGATAGTGAGATTTGTAGTTTGCCAGCTCTACTGGCTGCTAAACTCAGCCAGAGAAGATGCCAGTGATGGTTCCATCTTTAAACATGGAAAGAAATGTTCCATAAGACCCTTATTGCCCTCATTCTAGGATCAAACCTGCGTAAGATGAAAATCAAAGATCAGGAGGGAACTGAAATAGAAGGAAATAATTGTTTCATCAGAGTTGCCATCATAGGGCCCAGCTCTCCTCTCACAACCCTTTTAAGTCAATGGCACCAGTCATGAGTGTAAAAGGCCAAGCCTGTCGATTGCAGCCCTGAAGGTTTGGTTCCGAAAACCATTCGAGGACATGCTTAAACTATCTGCATTCATCGAAACACTGAAACACTTCTTTAAATACTTTACTAGAAAGGGAATTATGCTGTTGACCTGGACAGCCATGTCTGAAACCCCAAATGGATGAATGAATTTGGGCTGGGGAACTGCCAAATTCATTTTTTCCCAAAGCAATTGTTTGACACAGAGTTTAATGGATTTTTTAAATTGAAGTGATAATATAAGGAAATATGTCTGTCCCCTGGGGAATTTGCTTTATTCTGTTATTTTAGGTGGAAATGCTCTCTCCCTGAAGCACATAATAATCTTTTGAAGGCTTCTTTATTGATGATAATCGTTTGTGGAAAGCGTCTTCATTGATGTTAACTTTGATAGTGACACAAAGGTTAGCATATACAGTAATCACAGGGAGCTAGATATCCTTAAATCCCACAGAACACAAGTGCTCAGGCATACAGATAAAATCCACCCTGCAAGATTCCTGTTCTTCCACTATGTGCAGCAGGAAGGAGATCCTAGCAGAGTTATTTGAATTTATAAACCTGAATATTTTATGCTGCTCTTAAAAGTAAATAAACTGAATATGCAAAATTAGAAATCCTGAGTCTCCCTTCTGGTTTTTTTGTGCATATTCAGGTAACTCTGAGGCGTTCCTTTGAATCAGTGTCCAGCTCCTTCCAATGGGTGCACAAGCAAACAGGCTCTTATAAGCCTGTAACATCCTTCAGCCTTTCTCTGTATGCCGAGTCACTGGGATTAGCTATGTGTGGCTAAACAGATGGAGATTAAGTATTTTTATGTAATTCCATTATTGCAAAAGTTTGCTCAGATTCCAAACCATCAGCTGTAGTGGTGTAAATCTGGCATTCAGACAAACTGATGGACAAATCTTCCTCCATGGCTGGAAGTACCAGTGCAGAAGGTGCTCAGTTGCTTCCAGTGTTGTAAATGGGACAGATCTGGTGATCTATGGGGAAGTATTTTTCCAAGGCTTTAGGTTTTAAGGCCTATCTTTATTTTAATGAATGTAACTCACTGCCTCTTTTCTTAACCCAGTCCACTATAGCTAGTGAAAGGAAAGAGTAGAAATGTGTATGAACCATAACACTTGAGCTGTGAATGTGGAAAAGTACTGTGCAACGTTATATTTTTTCTAGCCTGCAGAGAGCCAAAGATCTCTGACCTGGTGAGACAGAAAGTGCTTCCAATGCAGGTTCAGTCAAGGTGAGAATGCAATATCTCAACTACAGTTTAAAGAAAAATGTGATTGCTTTTCCCTTCCTCTCATTTCCACCCTGTGTGTTTCGCCTGCCTGAGCAACCATTCCTACAACTCTTCTGGTAACTGAGCAATGAGAGCTGCTGCAAGGGGAGGTCTGATTAAGCACAGATTTGCAAGCTGCTAGAGGGAGTCAGGAAGAAATGCACAGTTAAGAGATGTGCAGACTACTGGACAGAGCCAGAATTAGGCTTGCAAGCTTGTGACAGGCTATGAGAACAGTCTGAGAACAGTTCCTTGGGGCTAATGATGTGTCTTAAAATACAAACATGTGCCACCTTAGTGAAGAAATGAGTGGGGAGAGCACAAGGAGAGATGGGGGTATAGCAATGTAATCTGCTCCCATTAAGTTTCACCATCCAAAGCAATATAACACACTTGATATAAAGTTGGGTTTGGGGTGGGCATGGGGGAGGAAGTAGAGAAGGAATAAAAGATCGGACCCTGTCTGGGCTTACCGTTCTGCTGATTTCTTGAAATAAACCCAATCTGAATTAGTTATGCTGCAATGCTCACATTCGTTCTTGTCCAAGTAGTAATTCCTCATTTCAGGGTTTGGTTTTTTTTTTTTGCAGTAGAGGATTCATTTATTTTTAGATGCAGTGCAAGAACTGTCCTCATCCTTGGTCTTAAGAACAGCCATACCAGCTCAGAATAAAGGTCCAGCTCATGCCATATTCTGTCTCTGGCAATGGCCAGTAGCAGATGCCTGGAGAAGACGTTAGGAACAAGGCAAGCACGTACCCCAAATACTCTCCCACTCTCCAGCTCTGTGAAGTATGATTGTAGAGATGGCCTTGAAAAGCCATCAGGAGGCTTTAGGAGCCATCAGGGGATTTTTCTTGCTTAAATTTTTCAATTCACTTTTGAACAGTGGTCTTCTTATGCTAAATGTTTCAGATATTAACACCAGCTGTATGAGAGTGCATACATGCCCCCACCTCCATAGCATCATGATGACATCTCATGTTCGTGGACTGTTTTTATCCCTTGAAGTAGGATCTCCATTTCATAGTTAATAGTGAGAGAAAGTGTGGATTATGCAATATTGCAAGGCCACATGTGAGCAGGGAATGGGACCCTGGCAGTCTAAGCATGACCACTACAGCTTTCATCCTTCTTCCAAAATAGAAGAAATTTGCCATTGTTCTTGTTCTTAATAACTTTACTTTCCTTGAGTGCTGTTATGTATTGCCTCACATATTCTACATGACAGAGGCAGTCGGTGTCTCTCTGTGATCAAAAATGGAATTACCATGTGAAAAAACATTCTTATGGCTTTTCTGGATGTAGGCAGTACCAGAAATCTCAAGGGAAATTAATTTCCTGATGAATTTTTCAGATGTAAATAGTTTTTTTCTGTAGATATATGCTTTTAAGCATTAGAACAAGGGACAGGTTCCAAGTGATGAAGATTTAAGTATGACTGTAGTCTAGCTTATGGTCCATATCTAGGCTGGTGCATATATTTATTTTTTTAATTATGTGCCATGTTTCAGCTAATCAGTACAATTTCTAAATGGAAGCTTAGTGATTATTGCAGTTATGAAATCTCTGTGGTGAGGCAATTATTGCTGTTAATTGCTAAATCACACAACTTTTTCAACATGATTTAATCTGAATTGATTCCTAATTCTGCCCATTAAAATGTTCATTACAGAAAAGATGTGCCTAAGTCGTCTCTAGTGAGAATTAATTATGGCAATGCCAACTTCCAGTGTAATTTCTTTATTTAAAAACATTGTATCGCAGTCCTTTTTGTGAATGGCAAAAGCTGTTCCACATTCAGAGGCAAACCAGAAACTGTAAAATGAAAAAAAGAGACACAAATAGAAAATTTATAAACATATGTGTATTTATATGTACATGTATATGTGTAAATAAAATAGCTTGAATGTAAATGGGAGCATTGCTAAACTATATTGGAATATTTTTGCCTTATCCTTTCAAGCAAATTTCATATGCTTTTAAAGGATACTTAACACAGCTGGTGATAAAGCTTTGATGATATTATTACCTTGTGTTCTTTGTACTTTGAAACAGGGAAACACCTTTGCATCAACTTTACTCATCTACATTCAGCAAGCAAAAGCTTGAAGTCTATCCAACCAAGAAGCCAGCGCTGCCCTTTGGAGACCTGCCCCCAGGGTACCAGCACCTGCACACGCAGCTGCAGTACGACTGCATTTCTCCTTTCTACCGCCGCCTGGGCAGCAGCAGGAGAACTTGTCTCAAGACAGGAAAATGGAGTGGGAGAGCCCCTGTGTGTATTCCAAGTGAGTCTCCAAGGGAAAAAAAAATGCACACATCTCTCTGGGTGGATGGAGGAACAGGATGTGTATTCATCTTAGATAATCCTCGTGGCTAAACTGAGGAAGTGC